GAGAAGTGAAAAGGGAAGGGTTGTTTCTTTTTCTTGGAGGAGCTCCAGTCTTCACCTTCATTTTGAACATTGTCTTCTTGCTTCTATCAGACTCTTCAGCCTCCAGCACTGAGCATGTAGCCTTTCATCAAAGATCCTCTGGTCTTCTGGTACAGACTCAGATAGGACATTATAATGCATTCCATGATTTTTACTTGATCCTTTGGACCCCAGTACTAGATGGACCTTCTGTGATCTTTCACATCTGACTTTGTGATGATGATATTAAGCTAATCTTGTAAAGTGTTGTATTTTGTATATCTTGTATTAAATCTATTTCTTTAGTAAGCACTGATTGATACATTGAACAAGCATTTAATGTACTCAAGATGATGAGCATGATAGCTAAGCCCCTGGTATATTAATATGCTTATCATCTTTATGCTAACTGGTAGTCAAGAAAAATAATCTAACATAGAGCCTGTCTTATAAGAAAATATAAAATATCACATGCTATGTATCAGAGTACACTGAAGAATATTTGCTGTTGACATTTTGTAACCAGTGACTGACAGCAGGGCTCACTGTTGCTCACCAATAGCAAGAGAATTTCTGCTACAAACAGGAGGATGCATGTATCTCTGAAATATGATATCTTTAACTGCTTGGAGAAAATACAAGACAAATAGCTACACTGAATGGAATTCATATGTATAGGTTTTTTAATACTCTCTACACTGAATAGTAACTGAACTATTTTATACTCCCATAATCAACACTAACTGATCTGTTTTTTCCTGTAGCTTCATGAACTTTTTTTTAGTTTTTTTTTAATTTTTTAAAATTTTATTTAAAGAAAGACTAAACAAAACAGAAAATAGGTAGAAATAATACATACGTTCAGAGAAAAAGATAAAAAGTAAGGGGGCTGGGGATTTAGCTCAGCAGCATAAGCGCCTGCCTTACAAGCAGGCAGTCGTGAGTTCGATCCCCAGTACCGATAAAAAGGAAAAAGACAAAAAAAAAAAAAAAAAAAAAGATAAAAAGTAGGAAATCACTAGTTGATGTTTACATATTGTCATTTTACAAACAGTTGTTCAAGATACAAAAATGGAACATGTAAATTGGGAATTCAAACAGCATGACTGCAAACAGTTCTGTTCAACTGTCCAACAAAAACTCAGTAACATGGTTGGCAATCCTATACACTTAAACATACATGCAGTTATCCATATCTTTATTTTATGTTGAGATTAAACAAACTAAAGAAGGTTAAAATCATTCTGATCAAAGTGTAATAATATTGCTGGATTTCACATCATGACACTCTGTGATCAGCACTGGGTACTGTAGTGTCTTTTTTTTAAAAATTTAATTGAAAGAGACTAAACAAAACAGAAAATGGGTAGAAATAATAAATAATTTCAAAGAAAAAATAAACAGAAATCACTAGTTGATGATTACAGATGGTCTTCTTACAAATAGTTATTCAAGATACTAAAGTGGTGCATATAAAGTGGGGATTCAAACAGTGAGATTGCAACCAGTTCTGTTCAACTATCCAACAAAAACTTAGAAATATAGTTATCAATCCTATACACTTAAACATACATGCAGTTATCCATATCTTCAATTATGTTGAGATTGAACAAACCCAACCAGGCTAATATCACTCAGAACAAAGAATAATACTATTGCTGGGTTTCACATTCACTGATTGCTCACTCCACCAATCCCGTTCGGGAAGAAACAATTGACTGAAGTCACTGTTGCCCCTTTTACTTGCCAGTCCAGCCCGGTCCCAGAATGTCATCCACTGAAGCCGCCCTATTTATGGAATGACTCCACTCCCGTCACTCACCGCAGGTCAATGTAGGCATCCTGCCAACTCAGTTCTCCATTCGGCTCGCCAACCCCCAAACTCAATGAAACTGTGCCTCCAGTGAGTCAAAGTGGCGGGACCTCAAACGGCTTGGTAAGTTGAGGCAGGACCTCAGATGGTCGGCAAGTTGCCGGCTGTGGCAGGAAAACGGAACCTTTAGCTGTTCCAATAATAGCACTGGGACTGTACATTTCGTTGGTTCTTCTCACCTTAATTTCTTCTTAGAAGGAAAGAATTCATCTGTTTGGGGCTCCCCACTCTGTATTATGTTGAATTGTAAGTTGACTATCTCAGGGAACCCCTGTAGCCAGTTGTTATCTATCCACCATCTTTGTTCCTCCTCCCTTTTTTTAGTTTCTGATGATAGATGGTCTTTGTGGAATAAGATGCTGCTTAATTTGTCCTTCTGTAATGCCAAAAACATTGAATATTGTTGAGAGTTTTTTTAGGTTCTCATATATTCCAGATATTCATCTTCTAAGGAGTGGCTGGTAAAATTGTTTCACATACTGAATGTCTTTTCTTCATTCTATAGTTTCTGTATTAAATGCGCAGAAGTTTTAACTTTTTATGTGATCCCATTTGCTGTCATCCACATTATTATTCTTTTTACCAAAAATGCCAGTAAAGTATCAGGAAAACTAGTATTTTATGTCTCTATACCAAGAATATAGAACATTGGGCTTGTTCATGTTCATTGTGATTTGGTCTATCATTCAGGCTTATGTACAATATAAGGCTACAATACAGATACTATCATGAAAAGAGTATTTCCTGAGCAACAAAATCGATTTGCAATAGCAATCTTCTATATTTCAACCTATGTAAACTTAAACTTAAATTCATATCATTCCTTAAATTTAAAATGAGAATATAAAAAGAATTATGAAATGTTTTGCTGAGACAACTACTCAAGTCACCCGCTACAGATTTCAAAGACATTTTGTCTTGTCTTAGCCTCTCCTGATGCTGGGACTACAGAAATGCACCAAAACATCTGACTTAAGACTTTTACATGTAAAGTAAGAAAAGGGCAAACATTGACATATAACATTCATATTAAAATAATGTTGACACTCTAAAATAAAATAAAATAGTACTACACCACTGAGCTACATTTCCAGATATGCATGTGTGTTTTGAGATAATGTCTCACTAATTTTCGCACGCTGGGAGAATTTTTTTGCAATAAGATCTAATTTGTGCATGCTGGCAGTCATTTTTATATTGAAGACAATAAAATCAACCAAAATAAAACAGAATAAACCCAATCAAAACAAAACAGTGTAAAGTGATACAGGACTTCAAAACAATACCTACCATAATGCCTCTTGTTGTCTTCAAAATACCTGCCCGTAACTTCAGACACAGTAAAAATTAAACACAACAGAACAGAAAAGAATAAAAACAAAATAATGAATGCAATAAAGAACTTCAAAACAAACAGTAAACCCAAAATGGCTATCATAATGTATCTTGTTATCTTTGAAATAGCTGCCCAAACCACTGAATATAATAACAAAACAAGACAAAACAGAATAAAACCCAAACAATGCAAATGATACTACAGGACTTCAAAACAAGATAGTAAGGAATTAACAATGGCTACTACATTCAAAAGGAGGTCCCCCATAGATGCTACATTGCATATTGTTATCCTCTGAGTAGATGATCAGAATATCAGCTTTAAGACTGCAAAGTCAGTGAATCACTAAACACTGTAAGCATCAAGCTGTATTTTACCTCATTACTATCATCACAGCCTGTGTTTCTATGGACCAACCAGTCACTTACATGGGAGTTGGACACCTTGATTCATCTTGTCTCCCAGCCCTCAAGTTGGAAGGGGCTGACATCTGGTTCTCACCCCAGGAGCCAATATGTGGTGCCAACTTGCAGGGAGGGCTTGGCTTCTGGTTCTCCTCCTCCAAGTCCATGAATGGTACCAACTCTCAGGAAAACGATGGTTTATGGTTCTTCCCCCAGCGGCCAAGCACATGGCCTGCAATTTCATTTTCCTCTCACCTCTACCTCCTGACTGGGTGGAATTGTAGACATGGATAACCAGAAACAGCAAGAGTCTCTGTTCCTCGTAAAATAATGGAAGAGCAAATGTGCTCAGGATAAAATGCCTTGTATTTTCAACATCCCATCACCAGCTATAGTAAGTAACAATAGAGCTATGTATCTTCCTCGTGATTGTGAGAAGCAGAAGTGAGCCACATGGAAGTTAGGTACACATTCTAGGGTAGTGGTGGTGAAACTATGGCATGTGTGTCACAGGGGGCACGCAAACCTCTCTGCCAGCACAAAAGCCAAGCATTCAGGTTTTTTGTTTTGTTTTTTCTTTTTTCTTTTTATCGGTACCAGGGATTGAACTCACGACTGCCTGCTTGCAAGTCAGGCGCTTATGCCGCTGAGCCCGCCAGCCCCCCAAGCATTCAGGTTTAACTGTGGTGTTGGCATCTTGCCATAAACAATGGGTTTTGGATTGCAGTTTAGGCACTAGATATCTAAGAAGTTCTCCATCCCTGTTTAGGTTGTAAAAAGTTAAGACTCTACAGTATGTTACATTCCATAAATTACATAAGATATTTCAGAGATAAAGTAGACATAATTTTAGATACTACTCAATTGGTAATTTATGTCTAAGCATAATTAAAGGTAGAGAAAGCTATATAATATTCGCCGCATTACGCTTTTTAAATTCCTGCACACTTATTAACATAGGTTTATAACATTCTCCGGTCAGAAATGGCATTTTGCTTTTGCCACTGTATAAAACATTTTACAAAATATTTCAGTTTAATTTTTTTTTATTTTGAGACAATCTCACTGTTTTATACGCTGCCTTTGAACACACTATATAGCTCAGCTTAGCCTTGAAATCTCAGCAATCCTCCTCCCTCAGCCTCTTGAGTCCTTGGATTACAGGTGCACACGCTATGCCCAGTTTCAATATTAAAAAGAAAGGCAAAAGTCTTAGTCAAGGAGATCAGCTGGGCCGCATGCTCATTCCCTGTCTAAGGCTATGGATGTGAAAGTATTTTTCACACACTCAGCGATCAGTCAGTGGTATTCACAGATAGTGAATAAATCTATCGTGAAATTGGTGAAACAAGACACAATCTGAATCATGTATTAGTAAACTTCCCCTTTTTACTAAACGGAATGTTTATTTTCCTTCATTTCACCTTCTTAGATAAAAGCAATACTGATTAACTAAAACAATGGCACTCATGATATCAGGGAATAAATGAATTTGCCTCATTACATCCAATAACAATCATTTTCCCGCTCAAACAACTCTACTGCCAACAAAATTCCTTTCAAAATATTGTTACTGGTAAATCATATCACTATTATGCTTTTTGAAGATCTATTACTACAATTTATAATATCCTTTTAGAGACAAGTTGTGATCTTGATTTGTGGCAATAAGAATTTCACAGCAGTATGGTTTATGTTTTGGTTCAAGTAGTGGAAAATTGCCACAAAATTTAAAGTCATCACAATACAATCAAGAAAGAGAAAACATAACAATTTAGGTAAGTGGTAATATTGCCTTAAACATCAATGGTATATAGTCAAAATTAAGTACTTGATATAATATACAATTATGTTGGGATAATGCAGCTATGTTTTGCTTCTCTACTAGTTATATGAAAACAACTGAACTTTATCAGAAACACATGTTCACAAATCTATGTATATATACAGATATAAATATATATATACATTATTACATGTTTTTGTTACAGAAAATATAAAATGTGTGCACCAACAATTTAAACCAAAGCTAGTAGGAAATCGCAACAGATGAACAAAATTTTTTTATTTCCAATTGTGAAGAGTATATAAAAACAAACTCCACACTTGAACATGAAGTGTGTTTTCATTCCCCTTATTTAATTAAAAGACCCTCTATGTTAACCTCAAAGACACTCATTTACAAAAATACATTATTATGTCAACTCAGTTTTTTATAGCAAAGACTACTGACACATAGTTCAGTTACAAGTGATTTACTAAAAAACACAAAATACGCTCCCATCTGGGAATATATTTTCAGGAACATTTTTTGGTTTCTCCCCAGTTTAATTTCATTCATGTATCTGATACTTTGTCAACTACATATTTTCCCAAATTTCTTACATACATAGTGTGTACGGCGTGACTTCTTTTATGCTTCCAAAATGGAGAGCTTGAAGCAAATCGTTTCCCACACTGCCCACATACATAGGGTTTCTCCCCAGTGTGATTTCTTTCATGTACTTTACAATAAGTATGTGTGGTAAACGTTTTCCCACATTGCTTACAAACATAGGATTTCTCCCCAGTATGAATTCTTTCATGTATTTTACAATAACTGTGTGTACTGAAAGTTTTTCCACACTGCTTACATTCATAACGTTTCTTCTCAGTGTGACTTCTTTCATGCATTTTATAATGACTGTGTGTAGTGAAAGCTTTCCCACATTGCTTACATACATACGGTTTCTCACCAGTATGAATTCTTTCATGTATTTTACAATAACTGTGTGTACTGAAGGCTTTCCCGCACTGCTTACATACATAAGGTTTCTCCCCAGTGTGACTTCTTTCATGTATTTTATAATAACTGTGTGTAGTGAATGCTTTCCCACATTGCTTACATGCATAGGGTTTCTCTCCTGTGTGATTTCTTTCATGTAGCTTGTAAGAACCGTGTGAAGTGAATGCTTTCCCACATTGTTTACATACATAGGGTTTCTCACCAGTGTGGATTCTTCTGTGTCTATGAAATGAGGACTTAGTGGCCAATCCTTTTCCACACTGCTTACATACATAGGGTTTTTCACCTGTGTGAGTTTTTTCATGTATCTGACAGTATTTCTGGGTAGTGAAGGCTTTCCCACATTGCCTGCACACATAAGGTTTCTCCCCAGTGTGACGTCTTTCATGAATTCTACACTCTTTATATGTAGTAAATGCTTTCCCACATTGTTTGCACATGTAAGGTTTCACCCCTGTGTGAATTCTTTCATGTACTTTATAATAACTACGTGTACTGAATGCTTTCCCACATTCACTACATGCATAGGGTTTCTCCCCAGTATGAGTCAGTTTGTGTCTACAAAATGAAGACCGATTAGAAAATCCTTTATCACATTGCTTACATACATAGGATTTCTTACCAATATGACTTCTTTTATGACTATACAAAGAGAACCTAGTGGTGAATCCTTTTCCACATAGCTTACATTTGTAGGGTTTCTCACCTGTGTGAGTACTTTCATGTATTTTACAATAACTGTGTGTACTGAAAGCTTTCCCACATTGCTTACATACATAAGGTTTCTCCCCAGTGTGACTTCTTTCATGTATTTTACAATAACTGTGTGTACTGAAAGCTTTCCCACATTGCTTACATACATAAGGTTTCTCCCCAGTGTGACTTCTTTCATGTACTCTGTAATAAGTGTGTGTGGTAAAGGCTTTCCCACATTGCTTACATACATAGGGTTTCTCCCCAGTGTGAATTCTTTCATGCAGTTTATAGCTACTTTGTGTAGTGAATGATTTCCCACATTGCTTACATACATAAGGTTTCTCACCAGTGTGAATTCTTCCATGTATTTTACAATAACTTTGCGTAGAGAATGCTTTCCCACATTGCTTGCATACATAAGGTTTCTCACCTGTGTGATTTCTTTCATGTATTTTACAATACCTCTGTGTAGTGAATGCTTTTCCACATTGATTACATACATAGGGCTTCTCCACAGTGTTACCTGTTTTATGACTATGAAAGGAAAACTGATGAGCTAATGCTTTTGTATGTTCCTTAGATATGTAAGATTGCTGTCCATCATATCTGCTTTTAGGTACTTCAATATAGTATGAAGAAATAAAAGCTTTTCCACATTGTTTGCCTACATGTAGATTACCCTCACTGTAGTTTCCATCATGGATTCGCGTACCACTGGGTGCACTGGAAGATTTCAGACTCTTCTTATCTACAAAGGTCTTCTCTGCAGGGTGAGTCCTTTCACTAATATCAGAGTATGTTCTCCCGTGTTGTTCATATTGATATTGTTTCTCTCCAGTTTTCCCCTTTGAATGCTTCTGAAAGGACTGGAAATCACTGTCTTTTCCATTTTCACCATACTGATACAGCTTCTCTCCAAATCCCAAATACTCATATGGTTTCAGTCCAGTGTGAGCTCTGATGGGCACAGTCAGTGACAAATGATCAATCTGGGGCTTTCTACCAGAAAGGCTCTCCGCTGGTTTGAAAGCAGCTTGCTGCATGTTCACATTGGCATCTGGAGTCCAAAGGACTATTTCTTCTTGCTGATTCCAAGTTTCATACTGATAGCATTGCCCTACTTCTTCACATCTGTAAAGAAAAAACTATCAATCACAATAAAAAGGGTCTCCATACTAATAATTTACCAGGACAAGTTTAGGGTTTGCCTGCTAAGAAATTCTGACAGTGAATTGACTGAATGCCCTGGAGGGTCCCTTCAAAACATGCATTCCCAGAAGGAAAGTACTCATTTGGGAACTTTTCTTACTGCTATACATTTTCAGTACATGAGTTCGACTTTCATTCTGGGAGACTGGTACATATGTATATCACAGTGATCATTTTTGATACCTTTTTCCTATTGTTCTCCCTCTTCTTTCCACAATCGCATTTCCCACATCACGTTGCCAACTCCAGATAGTCAGCCCTTGTATTTTGTCCCATTTCTCTTTTATTTTACTCCCTAATTTATATTTTAATGGATCACAGAAGAAAAAACGTAATTTGCTTTCTGTCTCTGACTGAAATTCAGACATTACAAAATGCAGTCTCACACTGTAGTTTTTGGCAAATTATATGAGACCATTTTTTATGGCCAAATATTTAGCAATTTTTTTCAAAATGAAATGCAGGTCTGAGCATGAAATTGTATCTCCAGCTTTTCTTTTAATTCCTTATTTTGAGAGAGATTCTCATTGACTATTAATTTGCTCAGGCTGAATGTCAAGTAGTCATCCTGCTGACTCAGCTTTCCAGAAAGCTGGGATTACAAAAACGCATCATCATGTTCAGCAGCATATCACACATTTTTTTTTTTTTAAGACTAGTCAAGTGCAGTAGTGAGAAGGGGGGAAAGAGTAGAACAAGGAGTTCAATCTGTACTGACTGTGAACAATCAATTGAGATAACTCACTACCTTCGGAACAGCCCACACATTTTCTTGATCCATGCATTCAGTGATGTGCATCGAGGCTGTTTCCAAAGCTTCGCAATTGTGAATAATCACACATGACCTGCTTTGAGCATGGGTATTCATGAATCACCAAAATATGATAATTTTTACTTCTTTCAGTATATACCACAGGGCATACACCTGGATCAAATGGATCCTTCTAATTTTAATTTCTGAGAAATTTTTATATTGATTATCATATCATACTGGTACTATTTTACATTCCTACTATATGTAAGGGTGCCTTTTAAGAATTTTAAAGCATGAAAGAACTTAATTATCTGAGGGATGCTTTCAAAATATCTATTAGGGACTGAGGATTTAGCTCAAACGCTTAAGCCCCTCCCAGTCAAGGGCAAGGTCACTGAGTTCAATCCCAGTACCAATAAAAAAAGAAAAAGTGGCAAAACATCATTTATTACACAACTAGCATTCATCTGCATTTTGAATACTGCTTCCAGGTAGGAATTTTTTAGACAATAACTCATACTCGCATATATACATAAATACAGTACATATCCTAATAATGGGTTTCTGTCAAAATTAATTCTTCTCACATATGCCTACATACAATACCTAAATGCAGCTGGGCATGGTGACCCATGCCTATAATCTCATCTTCGACCTGTATGCATCCCTGGAGAGCTTTTGTGGGATTAAGTAAACTTAAACATGGCCTGCTTGTAATATTTCTGCTCACACAATGACTCATCAGGAATTTGCTTTTGTGAGTGCAAATTACCTTAGATTTCTTGAGAAATTTGTGGACTTTTCTTCAATTTTCTGGTTCTCCCGGGTTCTTCCTGAATTATAGACATAAAAATATAAAGAGTCGCTTTATTATTTTATAACACTAGATGTCACTTAGATTCATAGTATAATGCTACCAGGCCCCAGATAGTCTTCAAAATGTTTTTACATTCTATGCAATGAAATTGCACCACTGAATAAGAACCAATGCTCTCTGACTGTATAAATGAGAAAATGATGCCATCCTTACCTATAGCAGTTACATTCATAAATGTTTCCCACATCACATCTCTGTAGAGCTTCTTTTGGGATGAATTCAGCAAAGCCCACTCCTCCATGCTAAAGTTCACAGCCACATCCTCAAAGGCCACTGTTTCCTAAATAATCACATACATGTTTACTGAAGAACACTGAGACTCATAGCCTGAGATACTGCAACTCCTCTCACAAAAAGCTGAACTGAGGTTGAGTCCTTCAAATAGTAACTTCCATGTGTTGCACATATGTATATGTGATACTGTGCAGACATTTCACACAGCAATTCTGACGCTAGATTGCAACTCATTGCTAAAACAACAGCAGAGTAGTAGCACGGATTTGTGTACCATCCCCAAAGCAGCTCAAAGGGAGCTTGTAAATCAACAATCTAAAACAGAGGGGCAGATAAGTATCTAATAGATGGTTTTAATAAATCACACGTAGTATCTCTTTTCAAATCATATTCATTGTGTAATTGAGTCTTGCTTTCTTTGACTGTACTTAAGCATCATTTTGAAACTTGAATCTGGTTACATAGAAAAATATTAAATAAGGTTTATGGAATCCGGGTCACTGAGGGCACACAAGGTGAGTTCCAGCACACCGGCGCGGTCCCAGGGAGAGTTTAAGCTCATCGCTCCCAGTGGATAAGTGCCCACCCAGCTTTCAGCCACACTGGACTAGGCTTGGCAGATTTTGCGGGCCTAACTGAGTCATGTCCAGTGACCTTCTTTCAATCCAGGGACATTGGCCACATGAGGTGAGTTCCAACACACTGGCATGGGCCCAGGGAGATTCTAAGTTCATCACTCGCAGCAGTTAAGGGCCTGTCCAGCTTCCAGACACACTGGACTAGGCTCAGTAGGTCTCATGAGCCTACCTAGACCACCCTCAGTGACCTTCATTCACCCCTTGGAGCTGAGGCTGTGCGAGGTGAGTTCTAGTGCACTGGTACAGCCCAGGGAGCTTAAGACCATCACTCCCAGCGGTTGAGTGCCTCCCCAACTTTCAGACACACTGGACTACGCTCAGGAGGTTTCACGGCCTGACTAGACCACACCTAGCAACCTGCATTCAATCAGGGGACCTGAGAGCACACAAGGTGAGTTCCAGCGTATCAGTAGTTGCCCGGAGAGAGCTTCAGAGCATCATCCATAGTGGTTAGGAGCCCACCCAGCTTCCTGGAATACCAGAGGTGGCACAGGAGGTCCTGTGGGCCTGACTGGATCATGCTCAGCAACCTCGATCTGGTCCCAGGAGCCAAAGGCATAGGAGGCAATTTCCAATATACCCAAAGGAAGCTTTGGAACATCACTCAAAACATGGAAATTAGGAAAATGATAACAAAAAGAAAAACAAAGTGCAATCTCAAACCTCCAGCCTATCCCAAGAAAGCCTAGGAGCCATGTACATAGAAGAAAATATAAACCTTACACCTGAAATACCTAAAGTAATGGCAAGTGAAATAAAGATGCAATTCCAGGATGCTATAAAGGAATTCAAATTAGAAATAATCTCCAAAGTAAAAGAAGAAATGATAAAAGTAATGAAACAGATGCTGAACACATCTAAAGAAGACACAGTCAACAAATTAGAGGGACAAAACAAAAAGATAGAATTCCTGAATGTCAACATAAGAAACATACAGAATACATGCAGTGGATTGAAAGATATATAAAGCAGATCAAAAATTCCATTGAAAGTTGTAAAAACCACTTCAACGAAAGTGAAGATAGAATTTCAGACATCAAAGACAAGATTGCAGCTAGTAAACAGGAAAGAGCTTTTAAAAATAACAAGGAATCAGGAAATAACAATTCAACAGCTGCAAGATGATGCAAAGAAAAACAAACCTAAGACTGATAGAGATAAATGAAAAAGAAGGGGACAACACAAATGATATCAAGAGTCTATTTACAGAAGTAATACCTGAAAATTTCCCAAACATGAGAATGGAAACTGAAATATGGATTAGTGAATCATATAGAACTCCAAATAGACATAACCAGAATAAAACTACACCCAGATATATAACAATCACCATCCCAGAAACATAACATAAAAACAGAATATTAAAAGCTGTTAGAGACAAAAGACAGATCACCTACAAAGCAAAGCCTATGAGAACCACAGCAGACTTCTCAACACAAACAGTGAAGTCAAGAAGACCATGGAGTGAAGTATTGCAGATCCTAAAGGAAAATAACTTCCAACCTAGACTGATGTGCCCTCCAAAACTGTCCTTCAAAATGGATGGAGAAATAAGATACTTCCATGACAAAGAATAGCGGAAGAACTTCATGATCACCAAGCCAACCCTGCAAAGAATACTAAAATACATTTTATATACACATAGGACAAAACCACTAAGCAAGGCAGAAATTAAATACAATAGAAAGGTAAAGATATAACACCAGAAAAACAACATGTCAACAACAAACCAATATATAACTTTAAACCATTAATGTAAATGGTCGTAATTCACCAATTAAAAGAAACAGAGTGGCAGAGTTGATCAAGAAACATCCAAACATATGCCGTCTACAAGAAAACCATCTAATCCAAAAGGATACTCACAGACTGAAAGTCAAAGGATGCAAAACAATTCTTCATGAAATAGGAACCCAAAATAAAGAAGTAGCTATTCTCTTTGCAGGCAATGTGAACTTTTAACCAAGAATGATCTGAGGAGATAAAGAAGGTCACTACACACTAGTTAGGGGAAAACTTCAAGAGGAAGAGATAACAATCTTAAACATATATGCAGCAAATTCCAGACCACCCAGATATACAAAGCAAGTATTAACAGAAAAGAAAAATCAAATAAGCAATAACACAACTATAACAGGAAACTTTAACACAACATTGACACAAAGGGACAGATCAACAAAAAAGAAAATCAGCAAACAAATAACAGAACTGAATCACACCTGTGAACAAACGGACGTGATAGACATATACAGAGTGTTCCATCCAAAAACATCAGAATATACATTCTTCTCAGTAGTGCATGGGACATTCTCTAAAATACACCATATACTAGTCCACAGAATATATTTAAGTAAATGCAAAAGAAATGATTATCCCATGTATGTAATCAGATCATAGACCATGAAACTAGAAATTAATGATAAAAGTAACTGCAAAAACCCCACTAACACATGGAAAGTACATAACACACTCCTGGGCAATCAGTGGGTCACAGAGGATATTAAAGAGGAAATTCTACAATACCTACAAAGCAAAGGAAAATACAAGTATAACTTACCAGAATCTGTGGGTGCAAGTAAGCAGTCCTCAGAGGGAAATTTAGTGCACTGAGTTCCCATATCAGGAAAACAGAACGAACACAAATAAACAACCTGATGATACAGCTCAAACATCTAGAAAAAGAAAAGCAAGTCAAGCCCAAAGCCAAAAGAAGGGAGGACATTATAAAAATCAGAGCAGAAATTAATGCAATAGAGTCTAAGAAAACAATCCAAAGGATCAATGAATCAAAGACTTCTTTCTTTGAAAAGAATAAAAAAATTGATAACCCCTAGCCAACCTTGTTAAAAAAAAAGAAAGAAAAAGCTCAAATTCATGCAATAAGAAATTAAAAAGCTGAAATCACTACAGACTTTGTGAAAATACAGATCATCAACACATATTTCAAAAACCTCTACTCTCAGGTTCAATAACACAGAAGAAATGGACAGATTCCTAGAAACACATGAAGTACCAAAGCTGGGTCAAGAAGATATAAAACTGCTGAATAACCCAATTTCTATTAACCAAATTGAAAATGTAATTAACTCCTTACCTACAAAGAAGAGCCCAGACCCAGACCGATTCACTGTGGAATTCTACAAGAAATACAAAGACTTAATGCCAACACTCCTGAAACTCTTCAATGAAATCAAAAGCAAAATAATTTTCCTCAATCATTCTTGGAAGCAAATATTACTCTAGTACCAAAACTTGAGAAAGACCCAAATAAAAAAGACAACTACAATTTCCCTAATGAATACAGTTGTAAAAATTCTCAATAATATATTGGCAAACAGGATGCAGGATGCAAGGATGGTTCAACATATGCAAATCAATAAATGTAATCCGCCATATCAATAGGGCTAAAAGTAAGAATCACATGACCATGTCTATAGATGCAGAAAAAGTTTTTGAGAAGGTCCAACACTCATTCGTGATAAGAACCTTACAAAACTTGGAATAGATGGTCTTTACCTCAATATGATCCAGGCCATGTAAAACAAAGCAACAGCCAGCATCATATTAAATGGCCCAAAACTAAAGCCTTTAACTTAATATCGGGCACAAGACAAGAATGTCCCTTATCACTGCTCCTATGCAACACAGTACTGGAAATACTAGCCAGAGCAAGTAGACAAGAGAGAGAATTAAAAGGAGTAAAGACAGGAAAAGAGGAAGTTCAATTATCATTGTTTGCAGATGACATGATACTGTACATAGAAGATCCCAAAACTCCACTGAAAGACTCCTAGATATAAACAATAAATTCAGTAATGCAGCTGGATACAAAGTCAATACTCAAAAATCTATAGTATTCCAATACACTAACAACAAAATCACTGGGAGAGAAATAAGAGAAGCCACATCCTTCACACTAGCATCCAAAAAAAAAGAAATACTTAGGAATTAATCTTACAAAGAAATAAAAGATATATACAGGGAAAATTACTACCCTTAAAAAGAAATTGGAGGAGGATCTCATAAAATGGAAAGACATCCCTTGTTCATGGATAGGAAGAATAAATATTGTGAAAATGGCCATTCTCCCAAAACTGTTATATGGATTCAATGCAATCCCAATGAAAATACCATCAACATACCTCAGAGATCTGGAGAAATCACTCCTAACTTCATCTGGAACAAGAGACCTAGAATATCCAAGGCAATTCTAAGCAGCAAAAGTGAGGCAGGAGGCACTACAATCCCTGACTTGAAGTTATAAAGCTACTGTGATAAAATCAGCATGGTACTGGAATAAAAACAGATCTGAAGATCAATGGAATAGATTAGAAGATACAACTACAAACACACTCAACCACTTTATATCTTTGATAATGGGGCCAAACATGTTCACTGGAAGAACGATAGTCTCTTTAATAAATGGTGCTAGAAAAACTGACTTTCCAAATGCCAAAGGCTAAAACTGGACCCATGTCTCTCACCATGAACAAAACTAAAATCAAAACAGAGCAAAGATCTAAGTATTAAAATAGAAACACTACATCTGTTGGAAGAGAGAATAGGGAGAACTCTTGAAGACTTAGGTTTAGCCAAAGACTTCATGAATAAAACTTCAGTGCATGGGAAATGTAGCCAAAGACTTCATGAATAAAACTTCAGTGCATGGGAAATGTTACAATGAATCAACAATGAGGATCTCATCCTATAAAAAGGCTTTCAGGCAACAAACGAAATCACCAAGAGTAAAGAGATAACAAATAGAGTGGAAAAAAATTTAGCCACCTATTCCTAGGACAAAATACTGATATCTAGGATACATAAAGAACTAGAAAATAAATAAATAAATAAACCTCCCAAATGTAAAGACCCAATCCAAAAATGCGCATCTAAGGATAAAATAGCACTTCTCAGATGAAGAAGAACAAACACCAAAGAAATATATGAAAAAAATGTTCGGCCGACTTCCGGGAGAACATGGCGGACAGATAGCAGATACTACGGAGGCTCTCTGAAAGGCTTGGTTCAGAGGTCAGGGATGGTGCGGACTAAGGAGACATAAGCCGGTAGAGATATGCTCTACTGACTCAGGGACGAACTGGGCTGAGAGAAACCAACTTGGAATGCAGTCCTGGTGCTAAAACAGGAATAGAAAAGCCTCGGTGTGGAGGCTGGACCCCGCGCCATTGGAAGCTGTGATTTGGGTTTCCCGCCGCGGCGCGGCTCGGCAAGGAGAGAGACGCACAGAAGCCCTGAGAACGGGAGTCTGCAAACAGAGTCGAAAACAGGACAGGCAGGGAGGCATACACTGACTTGTGGGGAGGTGAGTGAGAGAAACTGACACTCTACCACGGTCTGACTCCAGCAAAGGACTTTCTGGGCTCGGGCAGTCCTGCGGGAGCAGGGCGCGGTGGCGACTCCAGCCACACATTCCCCTCTCGGACGGCATTGGTGAAAAGTGCCTGGCCTGCGTGACGCTGCTGGCGGACTCGGTAGGCTGGCCCAACCCAGATCCCAGAGCCTGACCGTGGCCCGGAGGGGCGACTCCCGCACAGGCTGCCTAGTCCGTAACTCCCTGGTGCGCTGCGGTGGGCGGGAACACCTAGCCAGCGCAATTCGATCAGGCTGTGGCTGACAGGGAGGGAAGCTGGGCCTCCTATGTAAGCTTGCATATATAAGGAACAAAGAATATGGGAAAAGGCAGCAACAAGAAAGGCTCCTCGGCCTCCAATTCTGAGAAAAAGGCAATAGCGGACACCGCACCAATAGACATAAAGCACCATATAGAGAGCCTCATAGACCAATTCAGGAATGAAGTTATCAACGACCTGAAGCTAGAAGTATGCAGAATAGTTAGAGAAATGCTAAGCACCACCCAGGAAAAAACAGATGGTAGAATGGAAGAACAGAAAAAGAGGGGAGAATTGTTTGATGGAGAAAACAGAGAAAGCATAGAGTACGTGAAGCAGGTTCTAAGGGACTACCAAGAAACTAAGAAGTCTATCTAAGACTGGCATTAACAGCTTGAAAGAAACTAAGGACAGACTATCTGAACTGGAGGGCAGACTTGTAATATGGGAGAATGAAATGAAAAACTTCTTAAAAATAACAAAGAAACAAACAGCAATAATACAAAGACAAGAAGATGATAAGAGGATCCATAACTTAAGGATTAAGAACATAAAAGAAGAAGTAGGGACACAAACAAGTGAACTACAAAAGCTACTCACAGAAATAATCCAGGAGAATTTTCCTAATTTAGCAAAAGGTAAAGATACTCAGATGTATGAGGCATACAGGACCCCAGCTACCTACAACCCAAACAGAGCAACACCCAGGCATATAATAATAAAAATCCCAGTAATTCAATACAAGAACAGAATATTAAAAGCTGTCAGAGACAAGAAACAGACCACTTACAAGGGAACACCCATCAGAATTACAGCAGATTTCTCTGCACAAACCATCAAATCACGAAGAGCGTGGGGGGAAATAATTCAAGCTTTGAAAGATAATAATCTCCAGCCAAGATTGAGATATCCTGCACAACTGTCCCTGGAAATTGATGGAAAAACAAGGTGCTTCCAGGATAAAGAGGAACTGGGGGAATTTGCAACCACCAATTCAACTCTACAGAAAGTATTGCAGGATATTCTAAAAAAAGAAAAATACAAAGAACCCAGAAATAGTGGCGGGGAGGCCACAACGAATGGAGCAGAGAACAAAATGAAGAAGACAAACTGACAGCTACTGACAGAAAAAGAGCTCAACAGAAATGAGACAGAGAAGATTGGATGATAGCAGCAGCTATTTTGGAGAAAATGACATCTTAATAGGTAATACTGATTTAGTATCATCTTGTTTTGAAGTCTCATCTAGCTTTTGTTCTTCTGTTTCCAATGGTCTAAATAGATTGTATCTTACTGGATTTTATTATGTACGATAGTATAAGCAAAAACCTTTTAAAGACAAGGAGATTATACAGAAACCATTGTTCATTTTCTGTTAGTCGATTCTAAATACTCTGTAATGCTGTCATTCTCTTAAACGGTTTTACATTGTTTTGATATAGGACTTCAAGGAAAGAGTCAATATGGTAACTACTTTTGGGTCGGAATTATCTGGTGGTGAAACACTATTCTGCTTAAATGGTTATGTTTTGATCTGCGCTGTTTCACTGTTATGCCCTCTTTTATCTCAATCTCCACTCCATTATTTACTTTTTTATTTTTATCTGTTTAATTAAAGGGAAAAAATAGCAGGATATATTATAGTAACCCACTTTGACTTTCTATTATCTCAATTTGAAGCCCTGTATTACTCTCACCATCTTGTTTTTGACTGATGTTCCCCTATTCTGTTTTGCTGGATAGTATCAGGTTCGAAAGTTTAGGCATCAGCTGAGAAGATAATGAGATTCATTATAACGCCCATTCTCGTTGACTTTTATCTACTTTTGAAGACCTACAATGTCTCCAATGGTTTGGTTTTGTCTGTTTTGTTCTTTACTGTTTTGTTCAATTGTATTATAACTAACGATATAGGCAATTCTATTAGAGATAGCGGGAGGCATTATGGTAACCATTGTTGATCACCTTGTATTATGTTTTTACATTATCTATTATGTCCACCCTTTTGACTTGACCGATTCTGTTCTGTTATGTCACATTTG